ACTACTGGCCGACCATGAAAAAAGAGTCCGCAGAATTCGTAAAACAATGCGAACAATGCCAAAAATACGCCTCATTGATCCATCAAACGGGCGAGCATCTCCACTCGGTCACCTCCACTTGGCCTTTCATCAAATGGGGAATGGACATCGTCGCCCCCCTCCCTGCGGGGCGAGGTAACGTACGATTTCTTTTGGTTTTAACTTACTATTTTTCAAAGTGGGTAGAAGCAAGAGCATTCGCCCAAATACGCGAACAGAAAGTGATCGCCTTTATATGGAAAAACATTGTGTGTCGCTTCGGCCTCCCCAAAGAGATCAGTTGCGATAACAGACCCCAATTTATGGGGAAAAAGGTCGCCGAATTTTTCAAGAATGGCATATCAAAAGAATACTCTCCATACCATACCACCTCGCGGGCAACGGGCAAGCAGAATCCTCCAATAAATCAATATTGAACATCATGAAGAAAAAGCTTAAGGACGCCAAGGGATTATGATCGGAGCTGTTACCAGAAGTGTTTTGGGCCTATCGCACAACGCCAAAGACGAGTACATGAGAGACACCGTACTCTTTAGTCTATGGGACTGATGCGGTAATACTAGTTGAAGTCGGAGAGCCCAGTTTGCGATACTCCCATGAGAGCGGGCCGAGAAATGATGAAAGCAGAAGGTAAGAGCTCGATGAAGTCAAAGAACGGAGAGATATGGCCTACATAAGGGGTCGCCCAAAAACAGCAGGCAGAACGCTATTATAATAAAAAAGCCAAGATCAGACCACTCAGAGTCGAGGACTACGTGCTCAAGGCCAAAACACAAGCAAGTAAAGACCCGCGGGAAGGCAAACTAGGGACGAATTGGGACGGCCCATACAAAATCATGGCAACGGCAAATAAAATGTCATTTAAACTAGAAACAATGGAAGGAAAACAACTGCCAAACAACTGGAACGTTGCCCACCTCAAGTATTTCAACTTTTAAGAAAAAACGTCCTCTAAGTCTCACTCTTTTTCCCTCACTTGAGTTTTGTCCCAATCGAGTTTTCTCGAGGAGGTTTTTAACGAGGCGAATGTGAGTTAATTAAACTAACCAACTCCTCCCTCTCTAAATCCGCTACCGTCTCGATGACCTCGCCACTTAAAACGGCCGCTCGAAGTTTACACTCCTCCAGCTCGGCACGCAGCGAGACCACTTGGGACTGAAGGTTGGCGCACTGGGTCTCCACTACATTTTCTGATGACCTTCACTAATTCGTCATCCTTCTCCTTTAGCTCGTTTTAGAGGGCCCGGAAGTTGCTACTACCACCAACTCGCCGGCAAAGCTCACAGCGCTTATCACGATATTCGCGATATTTCTGCTCCATCTTTTGGAAGATAGCCTTATGCCTCTCCTATCGGCGGGAACTTTCAATCTCTAAGATCACGGTCTGAAAAGAAAGCTAGAGCGGGTAAGAACAAAGTCAAAATCAACATAAAAAACGAATAAGGAAATAGAATACCAAACATACACTAAGAGCAAGGCCGGCTATACTCTTCGACAAAGTGGAATCCTTTAGCTTCTCGAGGGTCTTACCCTCCACATCGGAATAGAGTGGACCAAGAGAAGGGACCACGTACTCTATATCAACTAATAGGTCCCGATCCAAAGGGATCGCAATGGTCTGCGTGCTCCCTTCCAACCTCACCTCAAGTCGGGTAAGTCCTTCCCCCATTATCCTAACTTCTCGGCGTCCATATCGAAGCCCGTCTCATAATCCTCTTCGGCAACACTTTTTCCCTTGTTGTCAACCCGAGAGGAAGGGCCCTCGGTCGGTGAAGAGATTGATGCCTCACCCCCTTGTAAGGCGTTCGGGTATCCGCGCCGATGACCCTTCAAAAACCGTTTCGGCCTCAAGGAGCAAAGTACATCCCTCGGCCCCTGACTGCGGCGGGATCGTGGACGACTGCTCGGCACCAACTCTGAGATCTATAGTCATCGTTTCTCTGATGACGAAAATATCTATCACCGAACTTCCCACGCGGACACTTCCTTCGCCGATACCAACAGATCGCCTCTTGAGGTGAAGCAGATTATCATCAGTAGACGACGATCCTTCCTCATTATCCTCGTTAACTAGATGACGTAGAGGCGAAGTTGAGACACCCGTCACAGTAGTCGACGACCGAGCAGGTCTCACCGCAGCAATAGGAACAGAAATGGCCTTCCTCTTATAGAGCTTTTCGCCTCTTCGAAGACCCCACTGCAAAAGTGATTAGAACGACAACTATCAAAGCCATGACGAACACGCGACCACAAAGCCAGCACGGTATAAGTAAAAAGTCACTATATGAACGGACAAACTCACTGGTCGCTGAAAGCTTGGGCCCGAATCTCTGGAAAAAGGTCGGCCACCCATGAATCCCCACTGTGTGGGGCAAGATCTGGCTAACCCATTCGTGAATATTCGCGACCAATGGAGGGGGCTTGGTCTCAGCTAAAGGAGAAAAAGACAGAACAGTTAGACTACGACCAGAACGAGCAAAATGAACACTTGGTGAAAATACTTACGAGCGTAATTTCACGCCTCAGAAATCCATTCATGTTCGCCACCACGTCCTCAGTCTTGACAAAGAAGTAATTAAACCAGAATCGACGATTCCCTTTATAGTCCATCTTTACTACCAAACTTTTGCCTCCACGGTGACGAAGGTGCAACACCATCCCTCTATAAAAACTCAGCGCGAAATGGTGCATCAGGTGGCGAAGAGAGACCCTGCGGCCAACCAATTCCGCGTACTTTGACAGCATGAGGATGAGCTTGTAGATATAAGGAGAAAGATGAGTCGGGCAGACGCCGTAGTAGCGGCAGAACTCCTCTGCCAATGGGAGAATGGGAAAAGAATAGCCCACGTAGAATGGATATGCATAGAACGTGCAATATCCAGGGCAATGAATCTGCACCACATCGCGTCCAGCCGGGACCAAATCGATGTGGACTAGAATTTTGAACTTTGCCCTGAAATTAGCAAGGGCAACCGCGTCCATTGCAGACTCTACGGCCTCAGGGTCATCCTCGGGTAGCTTTAAGAAGTCAGTTCTAGCCTTATCACTACGAGAAATTACCTCTAGCATAGGAAAGCTTTCATCTTCTATAGCAATGGCAGCCCCACCGTCATGGGGAGACATGTATACTGCCAAAGGAGCAGGATTAGGTATCCCCCCAGAACTGGAAGACACATTATCCATTTTTATTTATGAATAGAGGGGGTGCAAACGCAGAAGAGTCGAGTAGCAAGAACCACCGAAATCGGTGAAGGAAGGAGTATGAAGTAAGGTCAAGGAAGTAGAGATTCTGATTGAGGAAGAAGAGGGTATGAAAATCCGATTTTTAGAAAGCAAAAAGTGAACCTAAGAACTTAATATCCTCATTTATAAGAGTTAGGGAATCAATACCGAGGAAGCAAACCGCAGTTGCCCAGCTTAAAAGTCGAAGCGGTAGAGGCACATGAATAGATACATGGTATCGGGAAAAGTCATAATAATGATGCATGATGACATGGCGTCACAATGAGACGACGACCCTAGGTTGTTGATCACAAAAGGCCACGTTTCCATCCCGTCTGAAGTGCTACTACTCAACCTGCTCGCATAAAAATTCTCAAGCCTGACAGACAGAGTTCGCTCATCGAGGTTGCCCAGGGCCGATATAATAAGCGGAGGGACTAACTGTATAGGTCAAAATCTGCTTTCATTAAGATTTGACATGAAACGGTACGTAGAAAGTGATATGGTCGAGGTCGATTAGTAGATAACGAGGCTCGTAGCCGAGTAGTCAATAAGGCCGAGGTCGAGTACTAACGGCTAGTTTTTATAATAAAATATTCATGAGAATATTCTATTGAATATTCTTGGTGTCTGTACTTTTAGGGTTGACTGGGGAATATTCCATATAAATAGAAAAAGAGATAGGGGAGAGGGATATGTAATATTCTCTGAAAAGAATATTCTTTGAAAAGCAGACTTTCTCTCTAGATAAAAGACAATCACTACCTTTCTAAAGAGATTCGATTGTCTACTATTCCACACTTTTTTCATTAGATCCGAGAAGGGTCCCAACATTCTAGTATTTGTCTATCATCCATCATTATCAGAAAGAAGAATCATCCACCTCATTCAATATTGGGTGAATCATTCTCCTTTTTTATTTTAATGTCATTTATCGTTATTTATTGCTTGATATTCCCCATCATTAATGATCTTGAAACATTGAATGTACATCACGTTTAATGTGCTCTCAACATTGCTCTTGCGTGATTGGTGTTAATCGATTATAGATCTAAAGTTATTATCATTAACTATGTTTAGCCCTTCGTCGTACAATATTAATTAGTTTAATCAAAAGTCTACATTTTTTGGTCAAACACTAAACTTGCAAAAATTTATTAACTTCGGCTATGGCTTAAATGGGGATCTTGAAATTAATTATTTGTGCACTTCGCCAAATCAAACATCGTCACTAAAATAGGATGAAGAGAGAATTCAGAGGCGTATCTAGCCTTAAGAGTAAGGGTTTCCATGAACCTAATAGTTTTTGTCCAAATCATATATATATATTAAGAAATTCATTGAATATCTATAAATTTTTTATTGTGAACACAATTATTATTGTATACATACTTCGTGTCGTTGTAGGAACCCATAATCTTTAAATCCTGAATCTGCCCCTGCGAGACATAATACTTTCCAAATGTTAAAAAAACCAAATCCAAAAAGAAGTATGTGGAATCATCCCATAAATAATTATTGGATTGTCAATAGTCATTCCCCACATTTGTAAGAAAAAAAAAGAAGAAGTTCCCCTCAAATAACCTCAAAGTTTTGACTTGTTTATTGACAATTGACATGGAAGCCTACGTGTTGGGAACAGGAAGACAGCATTAGACAAAACAATCAAAAAAACATTTGCATGCACAAAAGCACACAACACAACAGAAGCACAATATATTACACAGACATAAATTCCTTTCCTCCAATTCAGCCATTAATCTCTCCATACCTTTTCTCTTCCCAAAAACAAAGGAATTCCTACACATCTCTCTCACAATTCATCTCTCAAATCTTTTGACCAAAAAAAACTTTTTCTTGTTTTTTTTGGCTCCTGTAACTCCTTTTGGTTCTGGAGCTACCTTCTTCTCCTCTCCATTTCCCTTTAAAAAATTCTCCATTTTTTGTTCTTGGGTTTTTCCTATTTAATTATGTATCATTAGTGGTAACATTTTCTTGAAATATTAGATGAAATGGGAAAAATTAGGATATGGTTGCCATGTTATTATTTGTTTATGATTCTTGGATTGAGTTTCTTTCCATGTTTTTTGTGTGCAAATAGTAATAAATCTCCTCCTTCTAATCCTATTGCCACTGGTGTCCCTATTCTTGCATCTTTCATTTATAACCAACTTGCAAATCTAACCAAAGTATACCATGATGATATTACCACTGCTTTGGGATTTTGCATTAAGGATGTGTAAGTGTTAAATTAATTAGCCTGTAATTTAACATGTCCTAATTATAATATATGTATGTATACTTTTATTTGCTAATTAATACTTACTGTTTTTGTTTTAGGGATGCTGAGTTGAAAGAGGCATTTAATTTTGCTAAAAATTTGGACTTCTTAAACAATTGCTTTAAAGAGACCAACGGTATTGATTTTCTTTTTTCTTATTCTGTTCTAAATTCTTATATAATATAGTTGCATACATGTTAAGGTGGAGAGGTCTTAGAGGTATTAGTTTTCATCATCAAAAAACCTTAATTCATGTTAAAATGGAAATAAATTAGGGAATTCGCTATTATTTCTATTGGCACAGTTGCACCATTTAGTTTGTTTATCGATATACTAAAAAAACATGAATTACCAACGGACAAATTCTATAGCTAAACAGAAAAAATGCCAGAAATTCTGTTAGCAACGGGCAATTTAGCGACAAAGTTAGTAGCTAATTCCAGTTTCTTTTGTATCATACTTAATTTGTTTATGTTTTTAATACAATATGTTTTGATCCTAACGAACTTGTTGGCAAAATTTTGGTCGCCATGTCTTCTGATAAAATGCATTCAAGAATATTGGGAATATAGTATAATCAACCGTTGAAACTTGAAATTACTGTTTATATGAATTCATGGGGCATGTTAAAGAAAGGGGTTTATCAGTTATGTTCTGTTCATTGACAAATAACTCTCCATGTTAAGCTTGACATGCTTTATACTACGAATGTATATAACTTAAACTTTTAAAGAAACGAGCCACAAACATTAAGTGGAAGTTTTGTCATTGTGTTTCACATTTGATCATCAAAATTTTGGTCATTTAGATTCTGATATAGTTCGAAACACGGTTAATCTCTGACAGTACGCTGATCATCTTAACAGACGTGACACAGAGACTGTGTAATGCTGCGGAGATGAAGTTCTACTTCTCCAGTTTTCTGGTTACAAAATCAACCACAAAAACTCAAGTCTTAAAACCCAATAGGAATTGTAACTTGACATCTTGGTTTCCAGGATGTGAACCGGGCTGGGCTTGCAGTGTTCCTGCAAATAAAGTTGACCTTAAGAATGCAAAAGATATGCCTGATCGGACTCGTGACAGTCAACCTTGTTGTGAGGGATTTTTCTGCCCCCGAGGCTTGACTTGCATGATACGTAAGTGTATCTAATGACTTTCCTTCTTCATTATCAATCATCTTATATGTTAATTCCTCAAGGGTTTAAGTTATATACAACAACACGTAAGAGTTTTTACGCTATCAGTATAGGTGATAGCATTTTACCAGGTTACTGATTAATACTCATATAGGGACTTACTTGTAATTACCTTATAAGTAACTTGAAGATTGTGCAAATATTTTTAATACCATTAATGCGTAGAACTTTAAAACCTTCCTGAATAGTTGGCCTGAAAATGTCCTTCGAAGATTTTGTGTGTAATATATGCAAAAGCAACCTTTACAAGGCAATAATAGGCATACAAGTTTTGGTAGCCTAGCTGTGGTTTGATAGCTACAAATGATTTAATTCCTCTATTTGCAGATATTGTTTAATGCTCAAATTTATTCATATGTGATAAAAGTCACTGTTTTGCTTAGTTATTATACATATATGTTACTTCTTTTTATATCAACCTTGTGAGGGTTTTTTCTGCCCTCGAGGCTTGACTTGCATGATATGTAAGTATATCTAATGACTTACCTTATTGTGTGATATGTTGTTTCCTCAGGGATTTATGTTAATTGCTTAGGTATTATGCATATATCTTACTTCTTGTACGGGAAATGAAGGTGGTTTAGTGTTTGTTGTAATGAGTTTACACTCAGAGGCGGAGCTAGCATTTGAAGTTATTGGGTTCGAAATCCTAGTTCTTTTAAATTACTGGGTTCTAAATTATGAATTTGTTCATATTCAATTGATTTCTAAAGTTACTAGGTTCAACCGAACCCGTAACATGTACGTTGTCTCCGCCCCTGAGTCTAGTCTTGTCCTCAATGAAGGTGTCATCTGCGATAAAAGTCACTATTTTGCTTAGTTATTACACTGCAACCTCTGCATTAACGATGATGTGAATAATTCTAATGCTAACAAATTGAATGTATGTCTTGCCAAATACAGTTTTAATTAGCTCTCTTTAAAAAAAAACTTTGTGAGTAACTTGCTTTCCATATTGTATCATATGTAGCTTGTCCATTAGGTGCTTACTGCCCTCGTGCTACACTCAACAAAACAAATGGTGTATGTGATCCGTAAGTTTCTAGCTCCGCTTTTGCTTTATTTCTATTGCAGCATGCCTTTCTATAGTCATATGATCAGTTAATACGTGTTTGGTAAAGAAAATTTCCAGATATGCATACCAACAACCTCCGGGCAAGGTAAATCACTCGTGTGGAGCAGCTGATACGTGGGGTAGTGAAACAAGTGGTGGGGAGTTATTCTGTTCACCGGGATCTTACTGTCCGACTACAACCAAAAAGGTTACTTGTTCGGAAGGGTATTGAATTTCGATCCCACAACTCACAGCATTTCATGTTTGTCTTCTGAAGCAGTAACCAAGTACTTGCATATTTTTCATAATCTGGCTCTTTAACTTGAACTAAAATTTCCGATGCATTAATTACCGTCACTTTTTAAAAATTCTATTACAATCTTGATTCACTATGTTTCTACTTGTGCAATTCCAGAAATTACTGCAGGAAGGGGTCTACAGCGCAGAAAGGTAAATCCTCTTAAGACGCATTGAAAGCTTAGCTCGTTAGAGGGGAGGTGGAAGTTACAGCCAGTGGCGGAGCCACCTTAGGCTAATGTTTAAAGCACACTAGTTACATTTTCTTACTGGGGAATCTGTTAATGTATTTTTTGCTTCAATTTACGTTTACAATGACAGCAAACAAAGATGTTCATCATTTGGCATTTTGATTATTGCAGCATGCATCAAATTGAGTACTTGCCGTGCGCATTCAGAGAAACAAAACCTGCATGTATATGGTTTTATCCTTATTGTAAGTGAACTCTTATTTAATTTAGTTAATTGAATTTTCTTTTTCATGAAAACACACTAGATTTCCTGGTCCTCAGCTTCAATTTATCTCGGGAACTTGGTGTCTGTTTCCAGATCTGTCTTTATTTTTGTTTTTATTGTATTTATAAATGAAGTTGTTGGATAGTATCTGACTTCGATTCACCTTTAAATGTAGGGTGGTTTGAGTTTTATACTGATCATCTTTTATAATTGCTCTGATCAAGTCATAAATACCAAGTATGCAAGAATCGCCAAGTCCAGAGAAGCTGCAGCAAGACATGCACGAGAAACTGCACAAGCAAGAGAAAGGTGGGGATTAGTAAAAGATGTTGCTAAGAAACGTGCTTTCGGATTGCAACAGCAGTTATCTCGCACTTTCTCAAAGAAAACGAGTGTGAAGCAAGGACCAAGAGGAGGTTTCAACCTACCTAAAACTAACGATGAAGCATCCGTACCACCTAAAGGTCCAAGCAGCTCAAGTGCGGCTTCAAAAGCAAATAAAAAGGGACCTAGTGATCTCACAAAAATGATGCATTCAATTGAAAATGAAACAGACAATATCGAGGGGTTCCATATGCAGATTGGAGATAAGAACATAAAGAAGCAAGCACTAAATGCTAAACAACTGCATACTAGGAGTCAAATTTTTAAATATGCATATGGTCAACTTGAGAAAGAGAAAGCAATGGAGCAAAAAACTAAGAATATGACATTCTCAGGAGTTATCTCAATGGCGACAGATGATAATACGGAGATCAAGACTAGGCCTCCAATTGAGATTGTTTTCAAAGACCTGACAATTACTCTTAAAAAGAAGCACAAACATTTGATGAGGTCTGTTACTGGAAAACTGATGCCCGGGAGGATTTCTGCTGTCATGGGTCCGTCCGGGGCGGGGAAAACTACATTTCTTTCTGCGGTGGCTGGGAAGCTAACGCAATGCACGTTATCCGGGATGGTTCTCATAAATGGAAGGGCTGATTCTATTCACTTGTACAAGAAAATTATAGGTTTTGTTGCCCAAGATGATATAGTCCATGGAAACCTCACTGTCGAAGAGAACCTTCGGTTTAATGCAAGATGCAGGTATAAGTTACACTAATAGACTCTGCATGTTTTTTCATATTACCTTACAGAGACTGGCACTGCCAAAGAACTAGATCCAGACTTTCTTTTTTGAGTTTTGTTGAAATGAAAAAAATTTAAATTGTTCTATTGCCTTTTGTGTTTCTTTAAATTTTTATTTACTTTCTATTTGTCCTCCATATATTTTAGGCTTTGCTTATGCAATAAGATGCTACTCCAAGTTTACATTCAGATCAAGTTTGATTAACTTGACATTTTAAATGCTCGTTCTCATTTTCTTATTGACATTTTATGTCTTCTGTTGAACTTTGAACATCATAAAGACTAGCAGCAGACTTGCCAAAGGCTGATAAGGTTCTTGTAGTTGAGAGAGTTATTGAATCATTGGGTCTTCAGGCAGTTAGAGATTCGCTGGTTGGAACGGTTGAGAAGCGTGGGATTTCTGGCGGCCAGAGGAAAAGAGTAAATGTGGGGATGGAAATGGTCATGGAACCTTCACTGCTAATCTTGGATGAACCTACATCCGGTTTAGACAGCTCATCTTCTAACCTACTTCTTAAAGCCCTTAGACGTGAAGCTCTTGAAGGTGTAAATATTTGCATGGTTGTTCACCAGCCAAGGTATGCAGAGCTTTTCATCTCCAATCAACTTCTATTATTTTGCACAGAAACTAGATACACAGTTTAGATAGTTTAAGATGCTTTTATCTCGTGATTTATTTTTGCGCTCCATAGAAAAGAAATGGATGGTGTTGAAAGGACTGTGATTTTCCATGTGTGCACACAATTTAAGTATATTCTGATATATGTGTGATAGAATGATGTATGTTTGTTTTCTTCAGCTATACCTTGTATAAGATGTTCGATGACTTGGTACTTCTAGCGAAAGGTGGTCTTGTTGCGTATCACGGCCCAGTGAAGAAAGTAGAAGAATACTTTGCAAACCTTGGAATCACGGTACCCGATCGTGTAAATCCTCCTGACCATTTCATTGACATTCTTGAGGGTATGGTCAAACCAGGTGGAGGTGTGACTGTGGAACAATTTCCTGTCCGATGGATGCTTCATAACGGTTACACTGTACCCCCCGATATGATGGAATTATGTGATCAGATTGCAATGTCCTCCAAAGGTGTTGCAGCAGCTCCCGAACAATCTTTTTCCGTTGATGCATGGCATGAGAAGCGAGATTCTCTGTCTCAAGGCTTGTTGAAATCCCATGACATGTCTAATAGAATCACTCCAGGCGTAACCCGGCAGTACAGATATTATCTGGGAAGGTATTGCATATCTTGATTTTCTAATATTGTGTCAGTGACTTTAAGAGTTTATGACATGGAAATATTTGCATCTAAAGTTATCTGGATGAGATCTGTTATTTTTCTTGCACAAGTCATTATATAATAATATTTAATGCGATTACCATCTTCAGGGTAGGCAAACAGCAATTGAGAGAAGCTCAAATACAAGCAGCAGATTATTTAATTCTTTTGGTTGCTGGAGGATGCTTAGGAATCCTATCCAACCAGAAGGGTGACACCTTCGGATACTACGGCTACATGTATAGTGTGATTGCTGTGTGTAAGTGGAATACTTGCTATATATATATTTTCCTTATATGTGGTGGATTTAACTTGCTTTACTTTCTATGGAAATATGAATGAAAGTTAACTCATTGCCTCATTGAGAGGCAATGAGTTATATAGCCACCACATGCATAAACGTGCGATGTTTTTCTGTTCCAAATACTAGGCGATGTTACCGACTTTATGTCATTCCTCATTTTCTGATCTATTCCTCATTTTCTGATCTTTGTTGATGAATTGCAGCACTCCTCTGTAAGATTGCAGCGTTGAGATCCTTTTCACTGGACAGGTTAGAATACTGGAGGGAGAGAGAAAGCGGCATGAGCAGTCTAGCTTATTTTATGTCCAAGGATACAATAGACCATTTCAATACTCTTATAAAGCCTTTGGTTTTCCTATCGATGTTCTATTTCTTAAATAGTCCAAGATCATCCTTCGCCGACAACTACCTTGTTTTCCTCTGCCTTGTATATTGTGTGACCGGCATAGCTTATATATTTGCCATCTGCTTTGCACCCGGACAGGCGCAATTGGTATGTAATACGATCATTAACATGTACTTCTTTCTCCTGATTTTTTTTCATTGTCATATTTTACCTTTTTCCTGATTCTTTATACTGACATGATTCTTGTTGGGCATTCAAACAGTGGTGTGTTCTTGTTCCTGTTGTTTTGACTCTCATTGCAAACCAGGAACCAGACGGGACTGTTGGAAAATACATAGCAAAGTTTTGTTACCCAAGGTGGGCTATGGAAGCTTTTGTCGTTGCAAGTGCTGAAAGGTTGGTACTTTATATTCCCATCCTTACAAATTGCCTTGTATATTCAGCAGTTTGTGTTGTTTCATTATCAATATTAGATTGATTTGTCGCTAGCACCAAGTCTCGGAAACAGTAACATGCTTTTTCACCTTTCACAATGTTCTAAATTATGTCGCAATGTGGAATGAGAGGACAAATGAGCAATAAAGATGTGAACGGATTGATAGAACGGGCATCTGAACTCATTCTTCTTACTTTCTTCTCTATAAGAAATGTGAAAGTAATTAGGGGAAAGAGAAAGGAAAAAAGAAGGAAAGTCTTCAGAGTTTCTGAAAGGAGATGAAAATCATTCAACCTGTGCGAGAGATTAAATCGAAGTTAGCCTTTTCGTTTCGTTTAGGAAGCCATGTTTTGGCTTATACATTTGTTCCGCAGCATGCATATGAAAACCAATTAGCATACAGAAAACAATTTCTACATTGGATGTGCGAACATACCGGAATTAAAAAAAATTAGGAATAAAAATATTCGAGACAAGGTGGGTGTGGCCCCTATGGAGAATAAGATGCAGGAAGTTAGACTTCGATGATTCGGGCATTTATTCTTAGATTTCTATTATTACTTGTTGTTCTTGTTCTTTCGGTTTGCTGATTGGTTTGCTGGTGTTGTTGTTTCTTGTTACTTCTTTTTTATCTAATCTGAGTTGATGGTCTATCGGAAACAACTCATCTACCTTCTCAAGATATGGGTAAGGTCCGCGTACACATTACCCTCCTCAAAGCCTACTTGTGGGATTACACTAGGTTTTTTGTTGTTGTTGTTGTTTTGCTCACATCTTTGAAACAAACGAAGGAAACAACCGTACACATTACCCTCCTCAAAGCCTACTTGTGGGATTACACTAGGTTTTTTGTTGTTGTTGTTGTTTTGCTCACATCTTTGAAACAAACGAAGGAAACAACCGTACACATTACCCTCCTCAAAGCCTACTTGTGGGATTACACTAGGTTTTTTGTTGTTGTTGTTGTTTTGCTCACATCTTTGAAACAAACGAAGGAAACAACCGGAGGAAAAAAGGTAGTCGTAGAACAAGGTAACTGGTGAAATTGCTTGGAACTAGGAATACTGCATAGTTAATAATCTTGACTTTACTAAAATGACCAACTTTTACTTCTTGGTGATCATGTTTATTAGCATTTTCTCATATGTTCAGCTTTAATTTTTTGTTTCTCTTCAGATATTCAGGAGTATGGTTGATAACTCGTTGTGCCAAGCTATTGGAGCTAGGATTTGATGTACATCAATGGCATTATTCTCTATTGTTACTGATGCTCACTGGTGTACTTAGTCGTTTAATAGCTTACCTTTGTTTAGTGATTATTAAAAAGAAATAAACCATTAATTTTTTCACATCTCTTGTTGTTACAACAAGATTAAAAGGCATAGGTTTAGGGCTTTTTGGCATCAAATGTATATCACATCAAGTTTTTTGACACTAAATGGGGAGTGCTAAAATGGCTTCTTCGTTGCTGGAATGAGAAGAGGGTGACTTTATCTACGTGATAGTCCGGTGCACTAAGTTCTCGCTATGTTCCCGGATTCGCGGAAGGGCCAAACTATGTCAAATCTATTGTATGCAGTCTTATCTTACATTTTTGCAAGAGTCTGGTCCCTTGGCGACTTTATTTGGAAATGACCAAGGTAAAACGTAAATTTGACACAAGAGTAAAAAATGGATGATGTGAAGTTAGAGGAAAGCAATTTGATCCTTTTCCCTATTATGTTTCCTCTATGTTTGAACAAAATGGTGACTAAGGAAAAAAAATTAAAATCGCAGCATAGTATATTAGGTTTGTGTGAATCCAAGGGTGTGGTTTATTTGTCAATGACTTGGCAATGAAAATTACCGACGATCAAGGTTTGATTTCCGAGTCCAACAAAGATTTAAAAAAATATAATTTTCTTCTTTATACCTTATTTGTGCCGGTAAAAATATTACAAATAAAATGTTAAGACTCATATAAGTTGATCCATATACCATCGTTTGAAAAACATAGGTGCATTTTGTGGTTAATGTGAAACATATTTGATCAATACATTTACCATATTTCGAGTTTTGCACCCATCTTTTTGAAGTGTGACGAGTCATTCAGTTATCTTTTAGGAGTAATTTAGTAAAAGGGATTAGGAAAAAAACTCTAGATAGAACTTTTATAATAAATAATATAATGTTTGATTTGGCGTATTAGAAAAAGAATTTTTTACATCATGTTATAAACGTCCCAAACAATACAATTTCAAATAAGAATCGGAATGTAATCTTTCATTGAAAAATCAGTACATGGAATAAGAGAATAAAAAGAAAGACATTAACATAACTAAGATAGGAACAGAAAGAAGATAGGGGGAGAGACATACACATAGGGGCGGGAGACCAAAGAGAGGATATTCCAATGACAATTCACATAACTTCTTCTTGCTAATCGATAGTCCCTTTTAACTTTTTCTAATTGCAACCTCATGGTCCTCAATCCCAAATTAAATTTTCCGAAGGCCTTTTGGACCTTTGGCAGGGCGAAGTGCACCAGTAGTCACTTTTAAGTATGTTATTTAAAATATATTTACAATTTATAATGTACTTATAGATTAGTCAATTCGCCCAAACTTCAGAACAAAGTATCCTCGATTTTTATATCCTTAATTTCTGAACTGCTAATTGTATTGATAGAAAAAAGACATGACACGTGGACCATCAGCAAGGTGACAAGTGGCACTTTCAGCTGAGTCAATTAAAGAAATTGAAAAGGCACGAACGAAACACCCCCGGTGTTCCATCAAAAAAAGGTACCGGCCCTGACAACTGGAAAAGAAGAAATAGGTACGAGATGAATGAAGACCATAATAGGGGACATGAATCTCTTATAAATAAGGAAGGGAAATCGGCACTGATCTTGATTATGCGAAAAATTCAGTCATTATTGTAACTGTTATAATTATATATGGTAACGGGCAATCAAAGTAATTTATGTTATTAACAAGCCAGAATTAAGTAGGAAAATCGTTATAATTATGTATCCTTATAGAAAGACTCGATCCTCATTTGTAAAGGCATCTGAGTTTTTATTAATATATGCAATTAGTCTTTTACTTTATTCAAAGTGCTCAAACCATAATTCTGGGAGAGATTATCGATCTACATTAAGCTTTCTTTCCTTACCTATTATTTCCATTATTCTTTCTATTCTTTGAATTACCAAGAAAGTGAAGTAATTTTAGTTATCAGTAACTCGATTTTTTCTTATTATTAGATTTGACCGAGAAATCTATTTTTGGGTTAAACAACTTGGTTCTGTTACCGGAAAACTGATAATCTATTCACTTTCCAAATTTTATTTTTAGCAACAAAACATGTCTACTGCTAAGGAAAACAACCAGCTGAATCAACAAGGTGGAACTCCATCACATCACACACCCATAATTACTCCTCAGCATTCACGAGAAAGTTTACTTGAAAACCCCGGCTCAATGGAAAGACAACCCCGTTCTGCTTCACGTACTGATGGGCAACAGGGAGGTGATCAAACCGTCGAGCAGGATGCTTTGAAGCAGTTGATTGCACGCCACGTGAATGAAGCACTGCAAGCTTTTGCTAATGGATTGCCCAACGCAACACAAACTACGCCACCAGTGAATACCACCTTGAAAAATCCGCGTTCAGGACTTGATGATTCTGAAAGTGGAGAAATGCAAAATGAATCCTGCGATAGAGGATCATGTACACCAATTAATTCCAATTATAAAGTTTAGTACTAACTCTGCAAAAATAGCTGGAGGAGCAAAATGAGCGTGTAGAACAAATACCCGACGTACCTCGTGTGATCAAGGGTGTGGATATTGACAAATATGTACAACAACCCTGGAAGCCAAGTGCAATACCTTTGTCAATTTCCAAAAAGTTTAAAATGCCCGATATCCCTAAATATGATGGGATATCTGACCCACGGGATCATGTTACTTCGTTCACCACAGGCGTAAAAGGCAAAGATTTAACCAAGCAGGAGATTGAATCAGTCTTGGTCAAGAAGTTTGGCAAAACTCTCACGAAAAGAGCGTTAACATGGTACTCACTCTTACCTGAAAACTCTATTGATTTTTTTTTCGAGCTTGCAGATTCGTTTATAAAAGCACATTTGGGGGCTCAAAAAATTAAAAAGGGGGATGATATCTTCAAAGTTAAATAGGGAAATACAAAATTGCTTAGAGAATTCGTAGATAGATTCCAACGTGAGAGAATGATGCTGCCACGAGTACCTGATAATTGGGCGGCTATGGCATTCGCAGGCAATTTGAATGAGAAACGTTCAGAAGCCATGAGGAGGTTGAAAGAAAGTTTGCGGGAGTTTCCTGCAACTACTTGGAGCGATGTTTACAATCGATACAGCACGAAGTTGCGGATAGAAGAAGATACGGTTACTCAGCCAAGGGCAGATGAAACGCCAGGGTCTAGACGCTCGGAATCAGAGATAAGGTCTGGTAAGAATAGGTGTGAGCCTTACATGGGACCTGCAGGGTGATATTCTCGGCCTAACAAGAGAATGCACAGTTTGATTTAAGATCAAGGCAAAATAAGACGAGTTCTTTTTCTCGATTCAAAAAGGAACGGGATACCCGAGGCAACGATTCCAGCACTCAAGCAAGAATAAGAGATTATAGTTTTAACGTCAGCACTTCTGAATTGGTGATTGTTCTAAGAGGAATTGGAAACAAGGTACGATGTACAAAGGAGATGAGATCGGATCCAAACAAAAGGAACCTAGAATTCTGGTGCGAGATTCACAATGGTCATGGCCATAAAACAGCAGATTGTAGGCTCTTGCAAGGGGAAGTAGAATATCTACTGAAGCAAGGCTATCTCACTAATTTGTTCAATGATAAAGGAAAACAATCATACATGAAAGACAAGCAAAAACCACCAAAGCCTCCATCTCCACAGAGAACGGTAAACGTCATAACCGGGGGAGAAGAAGTTAATAGGGTAACGTATACAACTGCAAAAAAGACATCAAAGGTCACTGTCACTCACGGGAAATGAGTTCGCCAGGTCTTGGAAGGAGACAACATAGTGTTTGATGATGAAGACACGGATGGATTGATGATTCCTCACAACGATGCACTGGTAATATCTTTACTTGTGCATGATACTAATGTAAAACGAGTTTTGATTGACCCAGGTAGCACAGTGAACGTCATTTACTGAGAGTGGTAAACGAAATGCAAGCGAATAATAAAATCATACCAAAAGCATGATCACTATCTGGGTTTGATAATTCAAGTGTTGTTACGAAAGGGGAAGTTGTATTGGCAACATTTGTAGAAGGTGTCATCAAAGACACAAAGTTCCAGGTAATAGAAGTAGACATGGCCTATAATATAATCTTGGGTAGGCCATGGATTCATGATATGGATGCTATCCCATCCACGTTGCATCAAGTAATCAAACTCCCATCACAGTGGGGGATCCAACAAATCCGGGAAGATCAACAGGCATCACGAAATATTAATTCGGTGGTGATTGCAAACACAACAGCCAACGATGTAGATGCAAAATAGCAATTAAAGAATTCAGCTGGGGACACTTTTATTCATACCTCAACTGAAAGCTTACAAGGTCAAGCTAATGTGGATTCAAGATCTGATATGATTCAAGAACCAGAGGAAAACGAGAACATCAAAACAACCATAGAGGAGCTCGAAGCCGTAATATTATTTGTCCACTAGCCAGACAGAAAAGTTAACATCGGAGAAAACTTGAGCCTGGAAATGAAAGGTAAGTTAATTGAATTTTTACGTGCTAACGCAGACTGCTTTGTTTGGTCGCATTCAGACACAACAGGTATACCACATGAGGTGATGACCCATAAGCTGAATGAGGATCCATTATATCCACCTATCAAACAGAAGAAAAGGAAGCAAGGGGCATTTAAAAATCAAGTGATCCAGGATGAGGTACAAAAACTTCTGAAAATCAATTCAATACTAGAAGTAAAGTACCATGACTGTCTAGCTAATACTGTTGTGGTTTTAAAAAAAATGAAAAGTGTTGAATCTGTGTAGATTATACCGATTTAAATAAGGCTTGTCCTAAAGATTCATTTTCTTTATCACACATAAATCAATTAATTGATTCTACCGCAAGTCATGACCTTTTAAGTTTTTTTAGATGCTTATTCTAGTTATAATCAGATAAAAATGGACCCTCTAGATGAGGAAAAAACCTCATTTATCACAGACTGAGGGACTTATTGCTATAAAGTCATGCCATTTGGCTTGAAAAATGTTGGAGTAACGTATCAAAGATTAGTGACCAAAATATTCCAAGAACACTTGGGAAAATCTTTGGAGGTCTACATAGATGATATGTTGGTCAAGTTAACACATACAGGGGACCATTTTCAACATTTGGCTGAAACCTTTGAAATTCTCCGCAAATACAACATGAGATTGAACCCGAAAAAGTGCGTTTTGGCGTGGCTTCAGGTAAATTTTTGGGCTTTCTTA